TGTTGAGGTCTACTAAAATAGATTTATATTCTGCAATGTTCCAAACTCACATTGGTTTCTCATACAGCATCTCTGTATAGTATGTGTATTCATTCTCTGTCCTAAACGGCTTGTTGGAGCTCCTGCCCCCCCCCCCTCGTGAGCCCAGTGGCCGTCTGCGAGACAGCGAGACACAGCGAAATCCAGCCCGAAACCAGCCCGAGCACACACACACACACACCCGCAGCCTGGCTGTGAGTCTGTGTGTGTGCTCACACAAACAGTCTCACAGCCTCGCCGCGTCCCGCTGTCTCAGGCTGAGAAATCCGCGGAGCTGCAGCTGAGGAAAGATGGACCAATCCGCGGACTTGACGTAACGGCTCCGCGGACGTAACGTAACGGCTCCGCGGATTGGTCCATTTGGGTATGGTTGCGTCACCATACCCAGGAAGAAAAAAATGGAAAATGAAAAATCTCCAACGAGGCATTCTGGGGCAGCACAGACAGGTATTTTCTGTGTTAGAGTTTTACTCGCTACAGGGTGTACTTTGAGGGTTTGTGACTACATGCAGAAAAAGCTACATAACACACAAGGGGACGGGTAATAACTGGAAAAGCATGACATGGGACCTTTAAATACAAATAAAAACACTGCCTAGAAAAAGGTTTGATACCTGTCATGAATGTTTCCTTTATCGTCGCCCACAGTGACCGTCACATTTCTCACATGGCTGATGTCAAAATGTTGGTCGTACTGGTGATAGTCTGGCGTGATCCAGCCCACCCACACTCCACTGGGCTCCTGCCCCGCAAACACTCGCACAGAATAATAGTACTAGTAAAGGGAAGAAAGAGGTGGGTGGGAAATACACACAAGTACAGTTTCAGGTCAAGATGGCGTAATAACAGTACAGCCAGAAGTTTATTAGACAAAATACTGCAATGAAGGCAACATTGTTTATTTCTTTTGTTTATTATTCTACCTATAGATGACAGTACAAGCGGAACGAGCAGAACGTGAATGGATGTTATATTTGTGAATATGATAATCATTTAAATGTAAGCTCTTGACATACTGTAGTGGTGTTGAGGATGATGTCGACGTCATCCCTGTCATCTGGCACCACATCTTCCATTAAGCGAGGCATTGCAGGAACAATAGGTGGAGGATTGATCAATGCAGCCTTCTTGGCCTTGAATAGGAATCTGTAAATAACAGCAGCAATCACTCACTATGTGTACAAAATAAATGTAAACTAAGTATACCAGCCATACATGTACCCTTCTCAAGTCACTCTACATTGATTTGTACAAACCCTTTCTTCTTGCTTTTCTCCGTTGAGGAATCCTTCTCATTTTCTCCATTTTTGATGGCAGGGGTCTCTTTCGGCACGGACGATTCTTTCTTCTCCTCTTCCTGCTCTTTGCGAGAAGCTGACTTCTTGAGTATTTCAAAGTCAGAGTCTGGGTCCACCTCTAACACATCGTCCTCAGGTATGGTAAGTGCACGTGTAAGAAGTGTGGTTCCCGCTGGGACTTTAAAAGTCTCATGAAAATCAACTGGCATGCTGAGTCTGAAGAAAAGCAGATCTGTGTTTGCGTTCTGAGACCCGTGTGTCTTGTGGGTCACTTTGATACAAGGGGCAGATTCCACAGTCCCATCAACACGCGACACCTAGAGCATAAATGAAAGGGAGGTAGGCTGTGATAGGCTTGTTCATAATGATAACAAACCATTCATGTATTCAAACATTACAAGAAGTAAGGCACAGTACCTCTATGTGAGGGTGATCAGTAGGTGCATTGATGTACTGGGGAAGGCTTTTGCTGAACCACATAGTAATGTCTCTTTTCATGTTGATAGCAAAGGGTTCGAATCCCTCCTGCAGCCCACAGATCGTAAAAAAACGAAGACTGCTGACGTTCTGACCCAAGTTGATCCGGCCGACCTGGGACAGGCCCAGACTGCACACAGGTATGAAGCCTAGGGATGATTGAAACATAAATGATCATTAGCATCAGAAATACACAGGTGCTAATATCCATAGTCGCTACCTGAGATGATCTGTTCTGTGTTACTCACCCTCTCCTATCTCTATATCCTTAAAGGCCATCTCGGAGCCTGAGTCACTGATCAACATTTCTCCGTTGAGTGTGAACATGATGTTCATCTCTGTGAGGTCGATCATACAGCCCACCACATCACCAGATAGCCACTGACGACCAAATGGCTCGTTTCCCACATGCCAACGTTGGGCCTGAATTTGAAACATGTACGTTTAGTACAACAGGGGCTTTTGAATGTTTTACAATGATGTAACTACTGTAGGTCTTGTTCCCACCTTGAAGCCATTGAAGACATACGCAAACTCATCTGCACCGAGTTCAGTGTCTGCGCGAACATTAGGCCTGGCCCAGCCCACTCGCATCTCCCCGACTGTCACCGCCTCAAACTCAAAGTACCACTTCCCCTGAGTGACAGCATAAGACTTCTCTGCTCTGAACACTCTGACCTTATCGCCAGACTCTGGTCCATGCCCGCCTGCATTAACACAAACAAAGGAACAAACACTTAGAAGAGCATGTAGTAATGATAATGATACTAGGACAGATACATTTTAGACAGCAGGGCAAACTTACTGCTCTCCTGATCAGGTGGCTCTATGTTGTAGCCATATCCGATGAGAGTGCGAACAGCTGCAGAAACTGTGTCTCTGTTGGTCTTTTTAGTCTTTTCATCCAATAGGTTGTAAGGAACCAGGCGGGGATTACGCTTGTTCATTATATCCTGTACAAAAAAACAAGATCAAACATGTAACAAGGGCAATAAAGATTTGTGCAAATTAACTTTGTACAATATGTAACCAGCATATTATCTACAAATACTTATAGGGACGTCTCTATAAAAAGAATGGCTGTACCTGAACGATACTGTATGTCCAACCCTGGCGAACCCGGTCTCTTGCCCACACATTGTGTCCATTTTCTGCCAGTCTCTCCACCAGAGTGTTCTGATTAGGCGTTAGCTTGACATAGGTGAGGTCCAGAGGCGCTGGCTTGTATCCACTGCTCTGCATGTAACTAACAAACAATGCTTTGTGATCAGAATGTGTCCTAGAGAGCCTTTACAGGGCCATTAACAGTACATAATAGAAGAGAAGCAATGCTAGAAGTGCACCACAATAAAAAAATGCCTTGCAGCTCACGTTTTGGGGAGCTTGTTCCTTTTCAGATTCTCTTCGGCTTTCTCATCTCCCATTCCTACATGACAGCCCAGTGCCAGCAGAGTCCTATGAAATGAATCACACTGAGAGTTAGAAATACAAAGAAACCAAAGCAGACGCTGTTAAATAAGCCAATGTCAGTGACTTACTTGAGTGTCTCTCCTGACATTGCTAAATTGTAGTTCTTCTCTGGTTCAGGCAGACTCTGGAAATCTACCAGGCAGGGGTGCAGCTTCTTGTTGTCATCGCGAAACTTGACATTGGTTTTAAAAAGGAGAGTTAAACAATGTTTTTATGGGGAACTTTTAGTATACTGGGAAGGAAAAGAGAAGGAACTCACTGGCCCATAGGTCCACCCCTGTTCAATGCGAGTAACAGCCCATAACTCGTGGCTGTTTTCTGCAAGCTTCTCTCGAATGCGCTCCAAATGGGGAGGAAGTACAATCTGAAAGAATAATACATTCAGAACAGTGCAAATGATATTAACTATAACTAATGGTGTTGATGTATCGTGATTTTAAGGGTGTCCATCTGGCCGGGGACAACAGCTGGAAATTAGCAATGTTGGCTAAAGCTGCCCCATTTACTGTTTTTTGTGACAGTTGATCAATGGGGACTGTCCACAACACTATAAACAAATACTAAACAGTGCAAATGATGATGAGAACTAAATAGTATGGTATAAATTGTACCTGTATAGTGTCCACAGGGCCAGGAGTAAAGGCTGTATGTGAGAGAGACTGAGTCGGACCCAACAGGTTACGGACGCCATCAAAATCGTGCTTGTACTCCTTGATGGGCTCAATGCGCAGACGGTCCCTCGGCAGGACTGCTTCATAGCACGGAGCGTAGCCTGGAGGTGGGAGGAACTTGAAATCCCCATGACGCCCTCCGAGAAGAAATCGCAACCTTGAAATTAGAGCGGGAAAATTGAAATGAGTCTCATAAAGTAACATCTATAATGCACTTATTAAAGGAAAAATAATCTTAATACAATGCCCTACTTAACGCCTGCAGAGAAGCTCACAACGGGGAAGAACAGGCCGTCCAGGTTGAAGTTCTCAAACATGCCCTGTACAGGATACCCATTGATGCGGAAGGAGATACTGGGCACGCTCAGATCCAAACAGCAGCTGACCACGTCTTCTGCGGCCAGGAGGTGCTCATTGGGCGTGGCAACGTGACGCGGAACACGTCCTGTGGACACAGAGGGTAATTAGCACATATTTATTAACAACATGTTTTTCTTCTTGGAAATAAACTGTTCACTTTCTGCAAAACACTACTTTTAATTTATGCCATGTTTACTTTACCTGACCAGAGGTTTAGCCCGTCGAAACCGTAGGAGTACAGGTCATCTCCGACACCGTTGCCCCCCCAGCCTTCGCCCCCACCAGGGTAAGGACTGTAGCCCTCTGTTAGAGCCCAGCCCACCCGCAGGTGGTATGGCTGAGCTGTAAGGAACGGCTCCACATGGTCCACCATCACCTCAAAATACCACTTCTTGTACTGAGTGGATCCTTCACAAGTCCCAAGGAAAATGTTGGGTCTCATGCTGAAGGAGGGGGGACAAAACAATCAGTGCAAAGGTTTTGATGATTGGCTGTAGCGTGGAATGAAGAGCATGATCTGAAGTGTGCTTGAGCTAATGAACCCACCTCGTCACATAGTTGATAATGTTGGTTTGTAGCAGGAAGTCACGACCAGGAAGCAGATTCTCTGTGATGAGGTTCTGATTCGACCTCACAGCGACCCCGTTACACACACACAGAGAGCAGAGCACATCCAAGACCTGGCAGAAAAGGGAGATTGTTTTCAATAAACGAAAATCATTCTGGTGCTGCTTGGTAGCTTCATATTTCAGTGTCTTATCTGAACTGCAATAGATCAGGTTTTCTCAGCAAACAGTGTTTAATGTTCCTGACCTTGTGATTGCGTCCATGCTTATCCAGCAGAGAGATGATTGATTTGATGTGATTTTCCTGGATAATATTCAGCACCTCTGGACTCTCAATCAGAACGCAATACAACACCTCCAGGATTCCTGTCATAAAATGGGACAAATATGTAAACAAACCCTCGTAGTCATGTTTATTTGATATAGTGAAAAACTATATACGATTATGTACGTCTTCAAACAGGACACATCAAGCTTAGAACAAAGAAATGACAACTGTATTCATAAAGAATTGCAAGTTTCAAATAGGTCGTTTTTGTTGCAAGAATAATATTTTAACTTCTGATTACATTTCAAGGTGTTCCTATTATATTGACACCATCTGTATGTTGTTTTTTTTTAATTCAAATGACAGGGCAATACACATGGTTTTCATTTATTTTATTCTTTATCTAATCATTCAAATACGGTTAAGGAATGTACAAATGAGAGAAAAAAAACGTTCACGTTTAAATGTTTCTTAATACCTGAAGATGCCTCCAAACGATCCAGTTTACTGACCAGCCAGTCGAGGTTATCACAGAACAGGGCACAGTTGGCACGATTTCCTCGGATCAAAGAAGCTAGACAAAAGAAGAGGATCAAAAAAAGATTGTTATTACATCTCATTAACAGATAAGGAAGCTGGTCAGATATTGGGAAAAATAATACTCTGGAATAAATCTGGAATCGCAATGAGTGCATGGAACTAATCACCAGATGGGCTTACCTAGTAATTCATAAAGTAAATTCACAATCTCCTTCCACGACTCTGCGGCTTCTTCCCCAGCGTACTCTGAGAAGTGGGCTGCGGTGTTGTAGACGTTGAGCCGATCAACACACTCCAGGACCAGAGTGATCATTCCCTGTTTAAAAAATAAAGAAAAACATGAAGAGAACTCAAATACAAATATTAAACGATCTTGCACTATTCCCTAAGATATTGAAGTGACTGTTATTTTGTATATATTGATTGTTGTGTTTTATCTTAATGTGTGCATATGTGCAAATGTGTCTGTTGATTGTATATATAGAGGATATGTATACATATTTGCATATTTGTATTATTGTATTTTGAATTCGGGATTGTTGGAAACGTTATTTCGATCTCTCTGTCTGTACAAACACACAGAAAATTTGACATTAAAGTTGACTTTGACTTGACTTTGACTAAATATAAATAAATCAACCAAACTTAATTTACACCCAAACTTACCACTTTTATACAAAACTCAAATACAAATATATAAATAAATCAACCAAACTTAATTTACACCCAAACTTGCCACTTTTATACATTTTAATTCATATGTATTCCTCAGTATATGGACTAACCTCCTCCTGGAAGAGGTTCTGTCTGTTCTTGAGGGAACGCAGCTTGAACTGTTTGTCCTCATGCTCCAGCTCCTCCTCGGGGGGGCGGAAGTAGAAAATGAGGTCCTGCAGGGAGAGCACCACCGTGTCCATAGGCAGAGATCCGGAGCTGGAAGACTTGTTTTTCCCACTCAGAGCATCTAGACCTCTGGAGATACGGAAAGAGAACATTGGAATACCACAATAAATATGCTGAAACTCGAAAAAACGGCTTTTAAAGCAAGATTTAAATAAACTGAGTGTTACTTGATGAACTGGTTGAAGAGGCCTGTAGTGCTGAAAATCATTCTGGCAGCTTGGTACTCTTCTATCTGAGATCGAGCCACTGTGAGAGCATCATCCATGTGACCTTCTTTATGGAGTATGGCCTGAGAATTGAACACAGTTGCTATTAAAACACAAGTTCGACAGGAGGAATATATCCTCAATAAGCTGAGTGCCTCGCTGGTTGCCTTTTGTGTCATTTCTGTTGGTGAGAGAATTATCTTGTCGTATAATTCTGCTTTACCTTTCTCTTTAGAGGACCCAGACGGGCAGATTTGGCATCGACAGCAGCATATGTGAGCCAGAGGCCAGTTGAGGCATGCTGCACGAAGCACATGGACTCTCCATACTTTATCTCAGGCGTGCCCATGCCTTCCACATCTCGCTTCTTGATCGCTTCGATTTTTTCCTGTAGTTAAAATAAAACATATGTTTGATTCATCAAGGCAGGAAAGACCGTTTTGAGATTTCTGAGGCCAGTGACTTTGCATGACAATCACCTTTGAAATTCTGAAGCAGAAGGCTGACAACTTAGAATTAGCTTTTTCCGGGTCCACCAACAGCAGTCCTTTCTCTTCATCCAGACAAAGATATCTTCCTGTTGTTATGTGACGTATCCGGAAAAACTGGCCCCATTTAATGTGACCTCCGCTCCAACTACCAACAGAAATAAATACATTTAATGTCAATACAAGTGAATGATTGTAATACACATATAAAAATGCACTGTATTAAGATACTCACGCGATACGAAGTGGCTCAAGTCTCCATAAGGAACGAGCATGGCTGCATACAGCCCCTCCTTCATAATAAGCAGCTCTGAAATTGATGACATACAACGGGTATTAGTTCATTTAAGGTTTAAAAACTCCTCCAGACACCTGAAACTGTCTTCAGAGTGGTAGCACATTAAAATAAACACAACAGAAAATGCAGTTTGCAAGCACAAACCAATATGGGAACTCCTTGCTGTTGAGAAACATTCTAAATAAATGTTGCCAAAAAAATCTGGCTTTCTTAATAACGGAAAACATTGCCATATGGCTGTTCGACATCCAAACTAGGGTCAAAGAGACAGTCAAGACAGTTCGTAGGACTTTAACACCAAATACACAACTTTTTCATAATGTAGAGAAAGTACTGAAACACGTATGGTATGCTTCTGAAAATGGCTGAGAACAACATTAAGAACAAACCAAAAACAAACACATTTGGGGTAGTAAATGATCACATTTTGGAGTAATGAATTACACTGGTCACCTGCGTTGGTCGTCCCCTTGGTCAGCCCCTGGGATTGCCAAACACTCGTCCATGTGCCCATGGAACAGCCTGAGCACATACCCTCCAGTCAGAAAACCTAGAGGAAAGGAGTCATACAGGTTAGAAAGAGTGGATAGTGTTCTGGAAAAATTATTATTTTCTTTTAGCAAAAAAAGTACAGACCTTCAGCTAGCTCACATCCAGACATCACAGGAGTCATGGTCCACAGCGTTTGCATGAAAGAGGCATCTACCATCAAGTCACCACTGGCGTAGGACAGATGCTGAAAAAAGGGCAGGAGTTCATATCGGTAGGATTTATTGAGAGCATGCTATTAGTTACACTGCAGGTAAATAAAATCATGGTTACCAGGTATCGCTCTGAGGAAACACTGACAAGAATGAGGTCATCTCCCACCCTGACCTTCTCTCCTTCAGACCTCTGCTTGGAGGCTGGATGGATAGTCCACCAGCAGGCCTCCCCTGTGACAGACAAAAAGATTTAGAACACTGAAATATAAAAACACTGTGTTTGTGGGAGGCAACGGACGGTGAATATAGACACCTGTGGAGTCTTCCTGCAGGCCAACATCAAAAGCCAACTTGTCTGTCAGTGAGCGGGAAGTAGTCAAACAGCACAGGTACTGCAAGATAAACAGAGAGAGAAAAACTTAAGAGGAGGACTCAAAACGAGCAGCAGTAGTTACAGACTCGATTGTAAATGTGCTTACCATGCTGGAGTGAGTGTGCTTCAGGAGGATGGCATGTCCGTACAGGAGGGTGCGGTGACCCCCACCTTGTGAAGACTGGGAAAAGAAGGAAATAGATTCAGAGACAGAAAGAGGTTATTGTATTAAAAGTTAGCCCGTTGACACAACTTTGCCTTGTTAATATCAAAATGACCATAGGGTTTACAGAGCCAGTAACAAGGAATACAAAAATACAGCCATATCTTACAATTGTAAAAACCAAGCGAAGTACAACTTACTGGAAATATACTAAATCATCTGAGAACAGCTGAGGCAAATGGGTGAAACAACAGCTACATTGCACGATAACACTGTATATATAACTTTAACACTAATGGGGTTGTGAAAGGTAGCTGTAACACATTTATGACATGAACGTTCAGTGACAGACAGCAAAGGAGAACTTACCCATTTGTCCAAATCCACAGCCTAACGTTGGCAGGTGGGAGAGTGAAGCAGCATGTGTTGGCAAATCAAAAAAGAAAGAAGGTAAGTTTCCGATTTTGAATGAACAATAAATGTCATTTGTTTATTATATCATGGGTTCATCCAACGGAAAGGGACATTTTTGACGGACCAATCATAATCGAGCAAAGCTATAGCTGTGTATTCATTGCAAAAAACTGCTTAAAAAATGATTTTTACAAATGTTTTACTTGTGCTCTGACAGACATAAAAAAAAACAAATCAATATTCTTAATAAAATGAAAAAAAACAATCTTCTTTATTTTAACATCAAGTTCCACATCTCTCATGTTTGAGCACAGTTAGAAAGTTTGGGGAAAAGGTGAGTGGATCAATGATAAATAAATATTAATTAAATTATACCGTTGATCATTAAATCAATCCATTGAACCTTATCGTTGTAACCAAACTGTTATAATTCAGCCCAAGTTGCCAATAGACTGTATACATAATGATCTTGCCTCATCCACTGAAGAGTTGGACAGCATCTCCTGCAACGCTCGCACAGACAGGGACTGCTCCAATATGAAGCAGCAGATAGCAAGGTCTGGAGGCACATTCTGAAACAGAGGAAAGCAGGTTAGATTAAAAAGATCAGACATTAAGAAATAACATTAAAGACATAATGAACAGTGTTTCACTACCTGAGCGTTTGAGGTGGTCTCCAGGAAACACAGACGATTACTGAAGCCTTCACAAGACAGGCACAGCTTGATCTGTTCCTTCAGAATAGACGCAGTGCACTGAAGCACCACCTGATCATCCTACAACAACGAGCAAGTCCACAGTTAAGGAAGAGTTTTTTACAAGGGGATTCTTTTCAGGAAAACATTGGGATTGAGCAAGAGATATGAAATGGGACCCAACAAAGGTCCCAAGTCAGAGCTGTCTCAGGTAGACCTATCATTTTGGATTTTAGATAACTGTCATGCAAAAGAAACATTTAATAAAAAAAAAACGTTGAATTGTTGAACTGTGAAACTTATTGTAAGAATATTTGCTATACAAACTCTGATTGTGCATATTTTGATTTTAAAAAGGAGAACGGCATATCTTCTAATGCAACACAACTTTAGTTTTAAAGAAATACAATTTATCACATTATCAAGAATTTGACACAAGAGAATTACAAATATAGATATATATTAGAGCAAGACATTGCCTTGGGACAACGAGAGTTAACATATATAAAAAATGAGAGATGTGATGTTATGGCTCTTTCAGTCGTTAACATTACCCACAATGCAAATCGATTAAAGTGCCATTACACATTTATCAGGCTTTGTATGGCTCCCTCACAAACTTATTTTTCACATAATCGGCGCTAAAGACTCCAGAACTTTTTAACGGACTTGGAGTTGTAAAATCTATAAAGTTCCCCTTTAATGCATTCTGCAAATCTTATAATACATTATAGCTCTTACATTTCATGGGTTCTCATATTAAACTTGCCATTCATGACTGTGATTGGTCGAATCGTTGTGACGCAAATTGTACTATATTTGTGAGGGCTGACATTACAAGTGAAACTTATTTAGAGGTGTCAACGTGCCAAGGAAGCAGTTAACAAAGGAACACAGACAGTGTATATGTCTGACTGTGTCTTACAAGTGTCTGGTTTTGGTCAGCAAAAACCTTACTGACGACAATATATAAAAACAAACTTGGGAAAATACACAAAGTAAAATAAACTGCAGAAACAGCAGTTTTTCCTGACACACTGTTCACTTGTTTTGTCTTACTAATGGAGTCCTCTGTTCCTGTCAGCCAGCTCTAATCTCCCCGCCTCTCTTGCTCCAAAACACAAGCCACTCCCCCTTTGATCTCTATTTCAGGCCGCTGCACCTGCTGTCCACACGACCCCTTCTGGAAAGCAACAGATATTTAGGATTTGACGGCCAGGGGGGAAAAAAGGCCCACATTGGAACGTTTGGATGCTTCAATTAGTCAGCTAGCTCAGGAAAGGAATATTTCAAATTCACCTCAGGTCAAACCTTTTCAAAAAATTAAACCTTTTTCGCCAAATGCTTCTGGTTATTTGAGCGCTAAATGAAGGTTTAATTACTAGTACTTTGTGCCTTATTGTAGTTTTTTAAAACACCTATAAGAGAATTTGTATTGTGCATAAATGAACCTTGCCTAGTTTGCAGAGTTGTTATGGACTGCTCAAATATCTGACAATTAACTGTCTATCGCACACATTATTGTGAAGTCAATAGTTTGTTAATAATGTACAACAGGCATTATACTGATTTAATAAATGCATCTGAAAATGTTGCTACTTTGAAGACTAATTCTGCAAAATATTAGAAACCCACAGACACATTGACACTTCTACCATAGCCTATTACCGAAGTAAATATCATGTTTCTGACACGCTCGGTTCCTAAGTTACTGTGCGGACAGGAATGTGTGTACAGACAGAAAGACTGACATACTCCCAGGCAGACAGACGGACTGACAGATGGGCTGAGAGACAGATGCAACATGACAGCATGGGGCTGGCAGCTGTGTGTTCACATAAAATTCTAACGTGTTGTTTCTAAACGTTTTGGTTTGCCAGAAGTTGTTGTTTGTCATTTAAAAAACGACCAGAGAAATCTACTAAAATGTCAGCATAGCATGTGATAACAACCCTTTCTAGCTCTACTTTAGTAGTTAAGCTCCTGCATGGACTGACGTTAGCAGGTGATGCAGTGGGCCGGGCTTCGAACCTGTTAATCCTCACACGGTAAATATAGAACTCTGGGTTGAGGGTGAACAGCTACAGACTGACAGTAACCTAATGACACATTGTTAACATATTTTACTTTAGTGCTGTGTTACAAGCCATGAGACCATGCCAACTGCAAACATGATTTTCAGTTACGTTACTTCTGTTTGAATATGTAATAGTCATTTATTTAAAAGTGTCCAATTAAAAATATTATATAAAGTCAATGCAAACACAGACTGTCGTCACACTTCAAGATACACAACTTATGATCAAGTGGCTACAAGGGTCTGAGTTTCAAGTGATGGTTATAATGCAGATAGATAATGAGTACCTGGCTTACACTAACCGACGGGCTAGAGTTACCAGGCTTTAGAGAAACTCAAGTGACACTATGTGGGACATCGACAATAGCTGAGTATCAACGCTGACTTTACAAATAGAGCGTGTTACATTTGGAAGACTGCTTGCAAGGCCACAATGCCCTTCTGTAGACTTTGGCGCAGAGATCTAAACTGGAAGTCTGATAGCTGAGCGGTGAGTAATGCAGCAAAAATAAACACATTTAACCGTAGTGTCAAATCAATTAAGCGAAACATGTAAAACTTTGAGGTAACATTTCTAAATGAATAAATCCCTAAGCAAGATATTACTATCATAACATATATGTTAACTGCCTTGGAAAAAGAGCTAGCTATTTGTATTGTTTTAAAAAAAAACAGCAGAGATAAGGAAACTGCAACCATCTGTGCCGCACATTATTTTAGAACAACAAAGTAAAATCGAACTCCATGATGTTTGGGCAAATTAATCCTTACGAAACCATAAATTAAACAACTTAGGTTTGATACAGCACAATCCATCGTATGGCATTTTGTCTTTAAAAAAGTGAAGGAAATGTAGGCCTACTATAACTTATTAAGACTTGTCCAGATAACAATGAGTATTGATACAAATAAAAAAAAATGGTCCAAAATACTTCAATGTATCCTATTTGTATTCTCTCTAACAGCGGGGGGAAAAAGGAACATGTTTGTAATTTAAAATAACATCTATCTATTTGCCGAAACCTTAAAAAAAACTATTAAGTATATCTATATATATATAGAGAGAGATTTAGATATAGTATATATTATTTGGATGTAGATCTTGAAACTACAAGCCAAGTTGACACATCCACAATCCCATAAAACATTGGCATGGTACATCTGAGCCCAGCAGTTCAACTATTAAGAGTTATTGGTTTCAGCACTTGTCATCTGATAAGTTTGGAATCATACAATTGTTCTTTAGGATTTGTTCAAATTCACCTATCTAGTCCTAACTGCCTCTTCGTTACACAACCTGCTCAAATACATTTGAACTGAACTCTGTCTTTCATTTTAACCACTCAACCAGTTTCTTTAAAAAAAAAAAATCATTATTGTCTTTTAAAGAAAATGTGGTGTTGTCTGTGTCTAACTGTCATAATACTTGAATTTGACTGCATCGAAATGCTTATACATTTTTTACACAGTGTCTTTGTATCAACTGTCACCTGTCACCAGAAGTATTCTTCTTTGAGACAAAACAGTAATATATCAAGAACCCAATGGGATAAAAATAGATGACAATGCTGACAAAACCAGCCACCTGTCCGTGGCAATCTGTGCCATCAGTCTATGTAAGGAAAGTCAACCAACACAGTAAATGCCTTTGCCCTATACAGTGAAGTGACAATTCACTACACAAAAGACTCATTATTTTACATTGTGAATAGGTTTAGTAATACTTTTTGACACAAAGCATATAGCATCACTTACTGTACGCAGGAACTGAATCTCTTCTTCTCCATCTGCACCTTCTGCCATTCTCCCAAGGCATTAAAAGCAAAACCTTGATGAAAAATGTTGTCTCTCAGCTTTAACTCCTGGTGCCTGTTTGCCCACTACTTAAAGCAAGACAATGTTGCCAAATGTTTCTGAAGGGCAGTGGGTCTTGTTTCTCTCTGTGGCTGTGGCATGGGGCAGGGGGATTGACTGTTCATTCCTGTTCATCACAGCATCATAAAGAGGTGGAGCAAGCTGCTGCTGACAAAGCAGAATCAGCAATTCAAATGTTTCTGTCATCATGACCATTGTTTTTGCACTATGTTGTGTCATCTAAATTATTGCATTAAAAAAAGTTATTAACCTGAAGTTAGAACTTTCATTATGATAACAACAACAATTGAAGTAAATATGCGTTTTTTGTGTTTGTTAAAAAGACAGTGTGAACATTTAACCTTAGTTTTCTCATGCTGTATCAATTATTACTAAGTATTGCAGTTGTTTATGCAATATATGCATACAATATACATTGCATTGACAAATAAATTAAAAGGATAATATTATGTTAGCGTATAGTTTATATGTACTGCCCTAAAAATTAAGCCGCTACAAGCCTTTTCATCATAAAATGAATGTGTATAATGCTATTTAAAAATATAACATGTTAAGGCTATGCTAATTAGCTAAGAGTAGTTAGCTTAACGCTAGCTCTTATTAACGTTACATTCTTGTTTACTTTACATCCCTGGGAATTACATCTCACCTATAGGATCAGCTGCCTAAATGGCTATATCCTACACTTTCTGTTGAGAATATAGATAACAGGAAAATAAAATAAAACAATTCGGAGACGTATAGCGACAAAAACAACAGAATATACATCTTAATTGAACAATTACGTGTAGCCTAACGTTAGCCAGGTGACGGTTTTGTCGCATTTAGCTAAAATGTGAGATTGAACATTTGACATTATTATGGTGCTTTTCTGCGGAACACAAATATATGAATAATACAAAGCACGTTGTTATAGAAAAACATATAATTAATATGTCTTTGTATGTATTTTTACAGTTTATAACTTGAATTACCTAGTAACGTTATTCCTGTAGAGGGCAGCAGAGCGACGAACGGCCGGTTGTCAAACATTCTCAGTAGAAGAAGAAAACGGTACGTCGGTAAAACAGTTCCCCCTTTATTTCCAAAACACAGAGCAGTTTCAGGTAAAAGCTAGCAGCATTTTTTAACTATCGGTATCAACTTAGTCAAAAATATGCACATTTGCCAATTCACACATTAATAGTATGTTTGCTTTGGAACAGGAATCAACATGTTATAACTGTCTCTACTGCTAGTCCAGCTGGTAGCCTAACTTGCTAAGTAGCGCTGCGTTAGAGTGGCTAATGTTTTGACATTGGTGAATGCTTTCTAATGTTCAAACCGTTTGTCGCACTGAACTATCAGATTCTACATTGAATGTAATCACAACAACATTTTGCAAGTTGAATGAATTGTATCAAACGGATCGTTCAGAATCCGTCCACAGATGTTGAGATATTTAAAAGTCATATGTCTTTTTCCTGTGTGAAAGACTTTAAGCTTGGTGCAGAGGGAGAATGGATGCCCTCACTCACATGCTTACAGACCCCCTTGATCCAAAAGAAGAAGAAAATGGACAAATCACAGAGGAGTGCATGCTGGGGAACTGTAGATTAAACCTACCAGAGGACCTACTCGAGGACGTGAGTTATCTGTCGCTCAGTGATTTAAATGTTGCTCTTTCCTGCTTTAAATGACTGTTCACAGTCATGCATTCAATATTGTTGTTTAACTTTTTGTTTTTATTAGCCTGACATTTTCTTCTCTGTGCTGAGTGAAAGCACCTGGAGTGAAGTACTGTCAGATTCCCAGAGACAGCACCTTCGTCAGTTTTTGCCAAAGTTTCCAGACAACAATGTTGCAGAACAGGATGAAACCATCGGTGACCTATTCAACAACACAAACTTTCATTTTGGAAATCCCCTCCATCTTGCACAAAGACAGTTCAGAGGTGCTTACCTAGATTCACCCACCAACAAACAACAATATCATGCTGAATACATTTGTGATGCACTTTTTCTGAACATGACTCTTATCTTATCCCAGATGGTTACTTCAATCCTGAAGTGGTCAAGTACCGACAATTGTGTGCCAAGTCCCAGAAGAAGCGACAGTTACACTCCCTTCAGCAGTATTACCACAAATTGTTGAAGCACATCCTCGTCTCCAGAAAGGTATTTTTATAAAAGTTTGAAATACAAGGCACATGGCGTCTCGCAATCAGTCTAATTGTGTTTTCTTGTTTTAGGAGTTGCTTGAGTTTGCAGTTCAAAATGGTCTGGACTTTCCACCAAAAAGAAAGTTGCAGACCAAGACTCATGCTGAAATGCGAGAACCAAGGGTGAGAAGAAGATTGAGCCGCATATTAAAGGAGGTCAAAACTGAGTGCGGAGACAGCAACGCTTCATCTGATGATGACGGTGAGTCTGTTCTTTCATTTGTTTCACTGCCAATAACAATAGCGTTATATTCCTAAAGCCTTTTCTGATAAAAATGTGATGAACACTAATAAGTGTTGCATATGCTTGTAGATATATCATTATGGACTCCAGCACCCCATTCGCCTTCCTCTCCGACGCCCACTGTCTCACTCAGAGTCCTCCCCAGCCTCTCCACCCAAGACATGAAGATTACTGGTCAGTGGTTTCTGCAATATCAAGATGATGTTCCTACAGCAAATAAAAATGATTACAAATATTGAAATGTTTCCACAGAAAAAATAGAACTAGGGGAGAGAGATCTAAAGGCCATGCTGCAAAACCATCGGGATAAGAGGAAGCGACAGCCAGTAAGTGGTGTCAGTAGAAAAAAATCAGAGATACAATTTGTCCTATTTTGTACTTGATTATTTGGTTGTTTACTCAGGATCATCCAGACTTGATGACCTCTGACCTCCACCTTGGGGACATACTTTCAAGAACAAATATCGGTCGGAAGGGGACACTGCGTGAGTAAAACTTTAATAATAAAAAAAAGTCTTGCTTTATTTGCTGTCATGACAAACTCTTTATTATTCTTTGTTTTTTTCCTTGCAGCACTTTTTGATCTGTCACTGCCTAAGAAGAAGATTAAAGATGAGAGAAGAAAGAAGAAAATGAGGACAATAAAAGTGGAATCTGAGGATCCTTGTGAAATTCTCTCACCTTCAGAAAACGCATCAGCTCCACCAGCGAGCATCATCAACTCCCTGCCGGACACGCCGTCCACTCCCCTGGCCAACATCAAAGAGGAGTAAGTCTAGTCCTCTGCTGGCATTAAGAATATTATGAATTGTATATGTCTATATTGTACTGTCATCAAAGACTAATATAAAAAACTTCTTTACAGAATTGTGGAGGAGTGTCCGAGCAGTCCGGCTCCAGTTGAGGAAATAGCTATCAGTTTCTTCAGCTTGTTGGAGAGCATTTTAGCGACAGAAAGCCTTACCAGCACTTCATTGGTATGCACTCAGCACCACAGAGTCTCACTTACATATTATACAATTGACTTCACTTTATAATAACACATACATTGTGATCTCTCAGTTGGAGGAAAAAGTTCAAATGTGGCAGTCCTCTCCAGCCAGTTCCCTCAACGTCTGGTTCTCATCTGTCCCGTGCTGGTCTGACTTGGTGCTTCAAGCCCTGCAGTTCCTTGCAGGAGAGACTAAAGGTAAGGAAGACTTTTGTTTTTGCCGCTGCTTTTAATTGAACTCAATTAGGGATATTGCCAAATATCTGGAACAAACATGCAGGTCCGCTGCAACTCTTACTACTTTTAAATCCAGGCTGAAGACTTTTATTTTTGCTGCTGCTTTTAATTGAACTATTCACATCTTACACTGCACTGTAACTTGTATTCATGTACATGTCTTATTCATGTTTTCTTATCTTTGCTTTTTAATGTTTATAATGTGTTTCTGCTGTACTATTTCTTTAATGTTTTTCATTTTTGTAAAGCACTTTGAACGGCCTTGTGTTGAAAGGTCATATATAAATAAACGTGCCTTGCCTAAGTAGTGATCACTCACACTGACATAGTGATGCCTTTTCTCAACTCCATGTTACTTACATTTGCTATGTTTGTTATCAGATGGCATGATGGCACTCCCCAGTGGCTTTTTTCCATTTGTGGAATTTGCTGATGAATCTCAGCAGTGGAGGTGGATCGGTAAGGAGGGTCAGCTTTTGAAATCCCATATCGATGAATTCCTGATTTTATACTTGAGGGTTAAAGTGGATCATTTGTTTCAGGCCCCACGCACGATACAGAGAAGGATCTCAGCGCACTCTGTCAGCTGTGGCTGGACTCCAAAGATTTAGTCATCAAGGTAGTACCATTGTTATATCAAATCTGTTTGTACTGTGCTATACTACGATGTTAATGTTCACCACTATTTTCTTTTTGTTTTAAACAGACCGAAAATGAAGAAATTATGGAGATGACTTCTCCTACTGCAAGAGTGTAAGATTCAGCGACTTAAAAGCATTGCAAACACAATATACTTGCTGAACAAATTATGAATTAATTGATTGACCATAGCTTTTTTTATGGGTTCCTGGTAGTACTTAGCTTTTTAAAATTCATTTAAGTATGTGTATTTTATCAGCCAAAAAGTAACCATAGCTCTATTTTAAATAAATATTAGAGGTATCTTTAGCATGACATTAACAAAGTAGTTAGAGTTACAATATGTTCTTTGAAGTTAACAGTGTCTCTTCCCAAACAGCTCAACTGACTATGTGCTACGGCCCAGCACTGGGGACGAGAGACAAGTATTTCAAATCCAGGTT